TGCAAATGCACATCATTTTCGTCGAATAATAAAAAGAGCAACTCGCTCTTCGTGATTAGTATACTATCGACCACGAATCGAAATTTTTATAAAAAAAAAAAAAAGAAAAAAAAGAAGGAGAACAAAATGAAAGCTGAATTTTGCAGAAAGTTGCTCTTCGGATCACGTCATTTATTTTATATTACAGAAAAGTACTGTCACTTGAAAAAAAGCTTCGAAATGATGAAACTTTCCTGCAACGAAACTAAATATTTCAATGGATTTATTCGTGCTTTATTTAAAAATTTCCCGAGAGCTCGAGGAATATCGGCAAAAAGTTTCATCGAATTAAAATATTGATCCCGTGGACACGTGATCAGTATTATTTGTAATAAAATCGATTGGCGGTTATGTGGTTATTCATTTGATTTTCACCTGTTTTTTCATTGCAGTGCCACCTTCTATTATCACGAAGGAAACCAGCACAGACATGGTCGTCCGCGAAAGCTCGAACGTGACATTGACGTGCAAAGCTTCAGGATATCCGGAACCTTACATCATGTGGCGCAGAGAGGACGGAAAGAACATAAACTACAACGGTGATAGTGGTGAGTTTTTCGACTTACTTTCTGAATCTCATTACACTATGACAATCACGTTCTTTGAGAAGTAAGAGTGGTTCAATCGATTGCAAGGTAGCGTAATTAAACTCGGTGGCATAAAGCACAGGATGCTTAAATATTTCTGTAAGTTTCATCATGATCATTCTATATATAATGATGGTTCGTAGAATGTTGATTGATTTTTCTAAAGGTAATTGCAATTTTTTTATAAACCTAAAACGGACCTTGGCTCTGGTTGTTTTAAAATGAATTAAAATCAGTAAAATTTGATAAAGAAAGAATTGAAAGATTTGTGTGAGCAGCGTTTCTAAAAATTTGAAATAAGATTAGGTTACCACTTCAAGCCTTAGAAAATGCCAAATTAAATCCACTTACCTAAATTCTCTTGCGTTAATTCTACGTTAATGATAATGTGATTTTTTTTAATTCATTCATTCAATATCAACTCGATATTTCCTATCGAATATTCATTCAACGTGTTTTTACTATCATTTATAACATTCATACTGTGTTTGAATGTTTAATTTAGACGTAATTTCATTTATTACTTCACGAATATTAATTTCATTTTCTATTTCATGAATATCAAGTCCATACTCTAAAAGATATACCTACAGTAGAATATTTTGAATTATCAAACATAATCCCGAGGAGCGTATAATTTAGGGAACGATAAGAAATGCAAAATCTTTGTTTTACATTAAAATATTTGCGTGATTATTCTCACAATGCGTAGAATAATAAAAGACAATCAGAGGCAGATAATCCATTGATAGAGTGAATTTAGAATATTTTGAATGATCAAATGTAAGCCCCGAATTGTACCAGAGGAATGTATTCTTTGATTGGCGATGAATAATACTGGATCGTCGTGATATATTGAAAAGTTCTAAACACTGTGATCCCCGCGATGCATAGAAAAATATCAGTCGGAGATAATCTATTGATATAGTGAATGTAGAAAATTTTGATTGGTCATATGTAAGACCCGATATGTACCAGAATAACGTATTGCTTCGGGAACAATAGATAACTTTGGATTTTCGTTATATACTAAAAAATAGTGTTCATTGTGATGCCATTGATGCGGAGAATAATATGAGACCACCAGAGGAAGATAATCTATTGATTATTTATTGACAAATTTTTTTCATTGTCTACCCCGCACTGCGTAGAATAGTATAAAACTATCAGAGCGTGTTATTCTACTGATAGAGTGAATGTAAAATATTTTGAATTATCATATGTAAGCACCGATCGATCACTTCGGTGACAATATCAAATATTGTATCGTCGTTATTTATTATGTTATTGTGTTCATTGTGATACTCGCAATGAGTAGAATAACATAAGGCAATTGATTTTGACATATTTTGATTGGTCATGTGTAAGCCCCGATACATTCCAGAGGATCGTAAAATTTAGAAATGTAATATATCGTCGTTATAAATTATAAAATTAGGTTCATTGTTATCCACTCGATGCGGAGAGTAATAGAAGAATATCAGATTGGAATAATAGTGCACAGAATGAATGTCGAAAGTTTTAACTTTCATATGCAAGCCCCGAGACTTTTCGTAGGACCGTAATATTTCGATTATTTAGATAAACAATATCAGATCGTCGTTATGTATTAAAAAATTGTGTTTTTGT